CCTGGAAAACGTAAACTTTTTTTTCCAATCCAAGCACTCAATGTAAAAAACTTCTTTTATGATTTTCTTGGGGGATGGGGATCTTTAGATGTCTGTAGCTCCATCTGATAGATCACTTTGGTGCAAGTCAGAAACTGAGTAATATTTCCCCCAAATAAAATCCTTCCAGGCATTTGCATCAATTTCCCCTATGCATGAAAATCAAAATTAGCATCTTTTGCTTTAGGGTCAATAGAAATCTAATTTTTGCTTTGTCCAATATATAAACTTAGGTTTGGATTTTTCCTCTTCAATTCAAAAGTCCTGCAGGATTCAGAGTCTTAAAGCTTTTTAAATTAACTACTGATCAATTTGAATTATGTTGCTATATGGTATGAATGGCTCAGGATAAAAGCTTTTCTTTTCCTCATTTAAAATAAAAAGCAAATTTTGAGTGAAATGGATAAAATTACATTTTTTCCCCCAAAGTTAGGTGGTGCAATGGAGAGAGCACAGGATATGGCATCAGGTAGACCTGAATTTGTTTCCTGCTTCAGATACTCTGTGATTCTGGGCTTTATTATTTAACCTATTTGTGCCTTAGTTTCCTCATCTGTAAAATGGGACTAATAATAGCAGCTACCTCCCAGGCTTGTTATAAGGATCAAATGAATCAACATCTGTAAAGCATTTTTTAAACCATAACAACTATATGCATACTAATTATTGTTATTTAAACCAATTTTTACAGTTATCTTTTGTTTTTACTTCATCCAAATATCTCCTAGTATTTTCCCTTTTGACTCCAGAGAGCCATCCTATGTGACAAAGAATATTTTTAAAGAGAAAGAATAAGAAAAAAAATCAACAAAATTTGTTAATACAGAGGATAAGTCTGAAAATGTACACAATGTTCCACACCCATGGTTCTAAAGGAGTGGGAGGAGTGCTTTTAATATTCCCTTCTAGGGACCACACTTATTCTTCGTAATTTTGTAACATCCCCTTTAATCATTTTGAACACCACAATTCTTCACTTCTGTTTTGCTTTCTCCATTCCATTAAGGCATCCTTCACACTGCTTTAGAAAAGCATTGATCCTGTTGGTGGGGATGGGCAACTTCTATTGGGAAGCACATGGTACACTCTGTGAGAATATATTGTCAGACAGGGCAAAACCTACAGACTGGGGAAAAGGAGGTTCTCATCTTTTGGGCCTGCTATAAAGTCAAGTCCATTCATTAATTTATTCATACATTTTACAAGAATTTATTAAGCAGGTTCTGTTAGGTACCAGGGATACAAAATACAAAAATAAAGTGTTAAGACAGGAGCCCAAGGATATCGTTTCCTACCTGAAAACCTCGAGTCTTCCAAACTTTGCTCACATAACATTTCCTATAGAAAGCCTTTCTTGAGCCTCCTAATTTTTAAAGGTCTCTTCCTGTTGCAATTATCTAGTATTATTACTTATCTGTGGGCAATTGTATTCACATCACCTCCAGAAGAATGTGAGGTCCTATGTGGTAGGGACCATTTTCACCTTTGTCTTTGTATCTTGTGTTGACCTGAGGTATCAGGGAAGGCAGCTCCAGGTGAAGAAACTACCCCCTCCAAATTCCAACTGGGCAATGACCCCCTGGAGGTAAAAGTAATTAGGACAGTCAGTGTGGCAAACTAGGAGGACATTTCAGTGGATTTGAATACTGGTTCTTTTATCTCATCATCAAAAATATTTATTAAACACTTACTAGTAAACTGGAGGTAAGAGAAAGAGAAAATCACTTTTTCTGTCTTTGAGGAACTTATATCCTCCAGAGGGAGACAATACATAAATAACTACGTACATACAGGACATATACAGAGGAGAGGGTGGAAGGTAAATTTCAAAGGGAAAGGCACCGGCAATTGTAGGGAGGGGAGAACTGGCCTGGGAAAGGCTTCCTGCAGAAGGTGGGATCTGGGCTGAATCTTGAAGGAGGGCAGGGAAAATGAGACGAAAGTTGAGGAGAGGGATTCCAGAACGGTGGATAGCCAGTGCGAAAGCATGTAGTTGGGAGATTGAGTGTCATGGGTAAGTTGGCTTCTGTGGCTAAATTATAGAGTTGGAAGGGAATAAAGTATAGGAAGTAGAGAAGGAAATGGCAAACCATTCCAGTATCTTTGTTAAGAAAACCCCAAAGGAGGTCACAAAGAGTCAGATAGGACTGAAATGACTGAACAACAAAGTATAGGGAGAGTGGAAAGGTAGGACAGATCAGGTTAGGAAGAGCTCTAAGTGCTAAATGGAAGATTTTATATTGGATCCTGGAGGTAATAAGGGAGTCACTGGGATTTATTGAGTAAGGGCCAATGTAAGAAAATATAATAATATTATATTATATAATAATAATATGCAAGGACATGGCCTATGGCTTACGAACATCACTGTTGGTTGAGACTATGTTGGAATGGAGTGGGAAGATTTGAGAAAGGGACAATAATTAAAGGGCTATTGAAATTGTCCAGATGAGATAATGAGGATGTCTAGTAGGGTAGAGCCAGTGTGAGTAGAGAGAAAGGAATATATAGGAAAGATGTTGTGGAGGAAGAAATGAAAAGATTTGATAACAGACTGCATTTGTGGAGTGAGAGAGAGTAAAGAGTTGAGGATGACACTGAGGTTGGGAGCCATGGTCAATGGTGATACCCTTAATAATAGCTGTTGTTCATTTGTTTTTGAAGAGGACCACTGATATCACATACTAACAGCTAACAATTTTATAGCACTTACTATGCATTGTAGTAGGTACTACTTCACAAATATTATCTCAATTAATCCTCATAACCACCTTGGGAGGTAGGAGTATATTATTATCCCCATTTTATAGATGAGAAAACTGAGGCAATCATCTGTTAAGTGATGCAGTAATAAGTATCTGAGCTTAGATTTAAATTAAGGTCTTCACAATGCCAGACCCAGCACTCTTATCTACTGAACCACCTAGCTAGCTGCCAACAATAATAGGGAAAGTAGGGAAGAAGATAGAGTTTTTTGGGAAAAGATATTCAGTTCTTTTTGCACATATTGAGTTTAAGATACATATTGGACATGACATTGATTTGTTTCCTTATCTGCAAAAGGGATTGGACTAGATCGAGTTCTTTACCTCTTTTATCTAGATAGGTTTTTAGGGGGTCTGTGGACTTGGATGGGAAAAATACATCTTTATTTTCACTAAGCTATAGCTAAAATTTAGCATTTACTTCAATTATGATTTTTAAAAAATATTCCTAGAAGCAGTTTATTGATTTACTAGACTGCCAAAGGGGCCTCCTGGATCTCTGAGGTCCTTTTAAATTGCAAATCTATAATCTTAAAGAGTGTTATCTTCATCTTATAGACAAGGAAAATGAGAATCCAAGGTTAAGTTGCACAGCTTGTAAGTAAGAGTGGGGACATGAAACCAAGTCCTTTCATTCCAAGTGCAGGACATTTTTCTTCCCACTACACAGGAAGGACAAGGTCACATACTGGACTTGGACTGAAATGCTGGGATCCTTTCTCAGATGCTCTGTCAGATCCTGAGCAAGTTACTTAAATCTCTCCAAGCTTTTCCTCTTTAGTACAATGGGTACAATACTTGTATACTACTTAAAAGGGTTTTGTTGAGAAAAAAAAAGTTCAAACTTTAAAAAGCTACAGAAATGTGGGCTAGTGGTTTTACACCTTACAGTATTGGTGGTAGACTTGCTTAGTTGTTTTCGTTTTAACACATCTCAAGTGAAACCTTTGTGCTCTCTGACATGTCCCACATCTAACCAAAAGTTTTAAAGAAGGATAGGGCCTTTTCAAATAGGTTATGCTTTATTAAAAATAATAATAAACTATTCACTTACCACCTCAGTAAAACTCTGAAACAAATAATAATTTATGATTTACAATAAGCTTTAAGCTTTTCCACTCGAAGCAACAACATATAAAAACTAAAGTATTGTCTCTCAGGGGGTTTCTTACTCTTTGTTAAGATTAAAGGGTAAAAAGGCAAATCCCCCCAAAGTCAAAGGAAGGTGCTTCTTGTTTGATAAAACATCTTTCCATTCATCTCCGTGGGACCAAAGATGAAGCTTTCTGCAGAACTATCCATTGCAGGAGAAAGCAAGGAAGGGGAAGGAGAAAACACAGGGTATATTGTAATCTTGATCCTTTAGAATGCAACTTGACAAATTCTTCTTTCAGGTCTGAAATAAAAAACATTCAGAGAGTGGAAGAGATAAAATTGTTGAGTCCTTAGTTTAAAAGGAAATGAAATATGAAGTGTTTTCGGTGGACTTTGAAATGGGAATTTCCCCCCTTACTCTTGAAGTTAAGGGTTATCAACTGGGGAAGCCAATCAAAGACTATTCTCTTTAGAAAGAGCTGTGAATGGAGGCCACAGACGATCATTTAAGAAGCAACTGATAGCAGTGGAAGGACCCTGACTCTGTGGATCTCACCGCAATCAAAGTAAACAAAGCACTGGGACAAAGATACAGGGAAAGAAAGTCAACTGGTTCTTTATCCCTGTGGGTAGGGAGGGAAAAGTCGAGAGGGTCAGGGACAGGTCAGAAACTTGACTTCCTCGTTCAAACCAACAACTGGAACAAAGAGGAAGAAGCACATTATGTAAACCTGAGGGGAAGAAAGCCCGCATGGTTTCTTAGGAGCAACCTAGGTGGGGGGTTGCCTGAATAACATTCATATTCTTTTCACTTGAGATAAAGGTAATGAGATTAATGTGGGGCTGTGAGAGCTTAAAGGGAGAAAAAAAAAGTGTTGCATTATTGGCTTGAGAGATTTAACAAGTCACATTCCTCTCCCTCTTAAGGAGAGAAAATCCAGATGTAGAATGGTGGGGAACTTACTCCAGGTCATTGAGCCATCAGTGACACAGTTATTAACAGGAATAAAGAATGTTTTCAGGGAGTATTTATCTCCCCAAAGTTCAAAGCTGGGCCATGAATGAATTCAACATACACTCCTGTAAGGAGGGGCAGTTTTATTAAGTCACAGAGGAAACAGGAAGCGATGAGGTGGGCATTAGCAGTCCCATTCCAGAGCACCAGGGAATCACCTGCCGGCCTTACCAGGATAAATCAGACATTTACTTGTGGCTGCCATGTTGACCATGGTTGTAAGACTTAAATCTTAAGAATACAAAAGTCCAGGTAATTTATTGGAGGCTGCTCTGGCAGAACCATAAATAGGGAGGTATTATTATAGGTACTTCCTTCAGTGGTCCCAGGCTGAAAATGTAGCACCATGGACTTTAGAGTAGGATGGGGTAAGGGTCTATGAGACAATCTCATATATACAAAATACCTGGCTGGCAATCCTTATTTTTACTCCTAAAGAGTAAAGTGAGATGAATATTGACATAATTATTAGCCACTTATTTTTAGGACAGGTAGGTTGAGGACAGATACTATTATTTCTATTTCCCTCTGGGATAAGACTTAGGAGAATATTTGCCAGAAATCACAAAGTCATGTGGAGCCACAGCTGATCAATCTCCATCATTTCTATCGATAAGGATGAAATAATGAATCAATAAACTAAAAAAGCATTTATTAAGCACCTATTTTGTACCAAACACTGTGCTAAATGCCTTCCAAATATTACCTCATTTCATCATTATTATCTCCATTTTACAGTTAAGGAAACTGAGGCAGAGGTTAAATGATGTGCCCAGGGTCACAAAGCTAGTAAAGGTCTGAGGCTAGATTTGAATTCAGGACTTCCTGACTCCAGGCCCAACACTCTTTCCACTATGCCATCAGCTGCCTCACACCTATGTATAGAGGTTACTTCCAAGGCTTATCCTATCTATTCACTACAATATACAATATACAATATGTTGCCAATATACATGAAGGAGATCATAATCTATTGTTGTAGGTATGTACAGAATGTACATATTTATGTATATAGAAAATTGATAATAGATAATTTGGAAGTGAAGGCCCCAGCAATTGGGATATCAGGAAAGGTTTTATGTAAAAGGAGGCATTTAACTGAGTTTTCAAGGATGCTAGGGATTCTAAAAGGCAGAGGTGAGGAGCCATTACATCCCACTCAGAGAAGGGAGATGGGATACTGTATATGGGGACAAGTCAGAAGGAAATTAGTCTATGTGAAAGGGAGTCACAGCTTGAATTTTCCATGACTAGAAAGGTAGGGCAGGGCTAGGTTGTAAAGGGGTTTAAATGTCAAAAAAAAAAAAAAGAACAATTTATATTTGATCCTATAAAATGAGGATTGCCAGCCAGGTATTTTGTATATATGAGATTGTCTCATAGTCACGGTGCTACATTTTGACATTTAAACCACTGGAAATCATAGGAAACCAGTGGAGTAAGGGAGTGACTTGGCCAAATCTACACTTTAAAGACATCAGTTTGGCAGTTATTTGGAGGATGGATTGAAATAGGGAGAGATTCTATACGAGGGGACTGATTAGGAAGCCCCTGCAGTATTCTCGTGAGAGCTGATGAATCTCTGAATTAAAGATGGAGGCCAAGGGCGTGAAGGGAAGGATATGTATACAGTAGATAATAATAAAAGCTAACATTTACATAGTGTTTACAATGTACCAGGCACTATGCTAAGCAGTTTACAATTATTATCTCATTTGATCCTTATAACAACGCTGGGAGGTAGATGCTATTATTATCCTCATTTCACAGATGAGAAAACTGAGGCAAACAGAGGTAAAGTGACTTGCCCAGGGTCATACAACTAGTAAGTGTCAGAGGCCAGATTTGAACTTAGTTCTATCATGACCCAAGTCCAGGGCTCTATCCACTTCAATACCTAGTTGCCCCAATTTTATGAAGGTAGAAAGGACAAGACGAGTCTGACTGAAATGAGTGACTGAATATGTGAGGAGGTGAGTGGCAGTGAAGGGTAAAGGATAACCTAGATTTGGAGCCTAGGTGACTCAAACTATGGTGGCGCACTCAATGGAATAGGGAAGTTTGGAAAAGCGTTAAATGTTGTGGAAAGATAACAAGTTCTGTTCAGGATATCCAAGACAACCGATGGTACAACTGGAGCTCAGGAGGGAGACTAGGCCGGGATATAGGAATTCATCAGCATAGAAGTAGTAATTGATCTTGTAAGAGCTGATATGGTTACCAAGAAAGCATATAAAGGGAGAAGAAAATCCCAGTTAGTGACATAGGATATGTTCACAGTTAGGGGGCATGATATGGATAGGGATCCAGCAAAGGAGACTGAGAAGCTGTCAGACAGATAGGGTTCTAGATTTATGAAATGAAAGAGACCTCAGATATTGTCTAGTCCAGGGGTCAGCAAAGTATTGCCCAAACAGCTATTTTTGTATGGCCCTTGTTTAAAAATGTAAAAACCATTCTCAGCTTGAGAGCTGTGTGAAAGCAAGGAGAGGCCCAGGTTTGGTCTGTGGATGGTAGTTTGACCACATTTGAGAAAGAGAAGTCCAATAGAAGTAAATGCCTAGTTTAAGGTCACAGGGGTAAGTGAATTGGTCAAATCCAGGTCCTTTGACTCCTAATCCCCTGATTTTTTCCCACTGTGTCATGCTGTGTTTCCAGAATCTAGGTTAAACTGTTTGTCCATGGCCACATAGCTCCTAAGTACCAGGTTATGACCTTATGTCTTAACTCCAGGACCAGTATTCTTTTCTTCTATGCTATGTTTTATATCTACAAATTACAGTTTAGATGCAAGCACTTAAATATCTGGAATGGAGGGTCTATATTTTCATACTGATGTACCTGTGTGTATGTGAGAGATACACCCACCCCCACACCCACCCCCCCATATATATATATATATACATACACACACATATATACATACATATAGATGGTAAATGATTTGCCATTGTGATACATTGATGATGACAATGTATTAAAGCGCTTTGGTCTTAATAAAAATGCTCATGCTTTCTTCATAAGATGTTGAGACTTAGATTGGTCAACTTTTATTCTGCCCTTTTTCAAGGTAAGGCAAGTAACCGAAGCTCTAAAGTTAAGTGACTTACACACAGTCACACATATAACAAATGACAGGGTTAAGGAAAGAACATTGACTCTAGAGTTCAGAGAACCTGGGTTCAAACACCACTTCTGATACTTAATAATAATAGCTAGTTTTTCTATAGCACTTTTAAGGGCAGCTAGGTGGTGCTGTGGATAGAGTGCTGGGCCTGGAATCAGGAAGACTAATCATCCTGAATTCAAATATGGCCTCAGACATTTACTAGCTGTGTGACCTTGGGCAAGTCCCTTAACCCTGTTTGCCTCAGTTTCCTCATCTATAAAATAAGCTGGAGAAGAAAATGGCAAACCACTCCAGCATCTTTGCCAAGAAAACCCCAAAGGGAGTCACAAAGAGTCAGACAGGACTGAAATGATTCAACAACAAAGAACAAGGTTTGCAAGACACTTTACAAATATTATCTCACTTTATCCTTACAAAAACCTGGGTGGTATGTGTTGTTATTAGCTCCAATTTACAAATGAGGAAGCTTAAGTAAATAGTAGTTAAGTGACTTGTGCAGGATCATACAGCTAACTTGAGCCTAGATTTGAACTCAGATCTTCCTGACTCCAAGTCCATCACTTTATCCACTGAGCCATCTACCTTCTTCTGACCTCTGTGATTTTAGATAAAATACTTAACATCCCTGGGACTCCACATCTGTAAAATGAGGTGGCTTGAGTAGATGGCCTTTGAGGTCCATCCTGTGTCCAGATGTATGATCGTATCCTTGAATCCAAATTTTCCAACTTCATGTTCATGGCCCTTTCTTTCCTTTACACTGTGCTTGCCTATCCTATTTGACAAATGCTATAGTTATCTGTTCTAAGGGGAGACTGCGTAGAGAAGTGGTCTATGATGTAACAAAAGAGCTAGACTTGAACCAAGATCCTCTGATACATAACCCAACATGCTTTGCTTTTTGCTGTTATTATGCCATCAAAATGATTTTGAGGAATTCAGAGAAGCATGAGGTGGGAAGATTTGAATGGATTTATAGAGTGAAGAGAGTAGAATCAAAAGAGTGATATTTACAATGATCAATGTAAAGTGACAGAAAATTAAAAAATATTAGAACTCTGATCAATATAGTGTCTACTCTTGCTTGCTGAGATCTGACCCTGAAATGGACCTTCCTCCTTTGGATGGAAGAGAGATGGTGACATGGTCAATGTGCAAATTTCTTTTACTGAATTGCCCTTTTTTTTTTTTGTTACAGGGAAAGGTTCTGTTGGGGACAAGGGAGATATTGAGAAAGGATGGTAATCTTTACAAAAACCCAATAAGATATCAGAAAAGAAAGATAATGAAAAGTGGTGAGTTCTGTTAGCATTCCATGTCTCTGTGGCCTCTGAGAGCTCACAAAATGATGGCTTCTTCAATTCTCAAGACATTTACATCTCATCTTTAATTCTAGGGGAGGGGAGTGTCCTGCTCAGCACGTTTCTGGTAGAAAGTGATGACAGAATCTGTGATTTCATTGGCATATGAAAACTCCTGCTAAAGCAGGTTTGCACTTTCCCTGAAAATTTGTCTTAGAGGACTAAATAGCCTAGCCAGAACACAGAAATGTTAAATGACTTCCATGGCTAGTGTTATAAAATCAGTATGTGGCAGAGATCAGCTGTCTACAATCTACCCCATGGTACTTCTCAATGTAATAGGATGTATTTTAAATTTTGTTGTTGCTGTTCAGTTGTTTCAGTCCTATCTGACTCTTTGTGACCCCGTTCGGAGTTTTCTTGGCAAAGATATTGGAGTAGTTTGCCATTTCCTTATTCAACTCATTTTACAGATGAGGAACTCAGACGAATAGGGTTAAGTGACTTGCCCAGGGTTACACAGCTAGTAAGTGTCTGAAGTCACATTTGAACTCAGGATGATTAGTATTCCTGACTCCAGGCCCAGCCCTCTGTTCACTGCACCACCTAGCTGCCTCTTTTAATTCTTTAGCAAGGCAAATATTGTAACATTCACTTATTTTCTATGTCAAAATATTTAGTACTTATAGTCTCTCTTCAATGATTTCAATTTGAGGATGTTTGGGGCAGGGTTGTGGAGCTGTAGCACAGGACAATGGGTAGAGGGATGACTCTGGCGTCAGTGAACTTAGATTCAAATCCTACCTCAAAATCACTTAAACTCTCTTGGTCTCAGTTTCCTTACCTGTAAAGTAAAGAAGTTGGGGTAGATGGCCTATCAGGTCTTTTCCAGCTCAAGATCTTTGATTTAGCTATTCTGTTGTTTCTTTCCTATGACCCCCAAGTGTGTCCACACACTACACCCAGAACAAGTAGAGCCTATGTAGTACATATAGGAAAGAATACTGGAATGAAAATCAGAAGAAACCTGGCTTTAGGTCTTGCCTTCCACAATTACTCTCTATGTGATCATGGCCAAGTCATTTAAATTCTCTAAACTTCAGCTTCAATATCTGCAAAATGGCAACAATAAGTATTTCGTTTATTTGTTAAATTGAAATTTAAAAAAGTCCAACCTGATATTTGCATAGATCCATTAGCCTCTTAGCCCAAGAACTAAGTACTTAACATATCTAAATGCAGCATTAATACTCCCCATATTTGATATTTGTATGCAGGTCATCATTTAAAAAAATAAAAGTTCTTCTTACCACAGTTGTTTAATGTTGGGTCTCTGAAACAGTGAAGCTTCCCATAAATACATCTACAGAGGTAGCAGCCCTTGTAGACCCAGTCTCCATGGGCAAAGACACCACAGTTGCTGTGAATGACAAAGTCAGGAATTTGTTCGAGGACAGAAAAATCCAGTTCCTCTTTAGCTGAGAAGATATAAATTACCTTCCTACCTTTTTCGTTCATCATGTTCACAGTATCTCCCAACAAAGTACATTGGACATACACAAAAACTGCCCAGGATACAGGTCCCTCCATTTTGACAGCAGTGTTTGGTACCTGTGAAGATGCAGTCGTCACTGTTCCTTTCCAGCAAATAAGCACACTTCCAAACTCTTTTACCCCCACTCTCACCCACACCTTCCCTTTTCCCCCTCCTAAGTTGCTAAGGGATCTGAAAGATGTCTAATTTTATTGTCCCCAAAGGCAATAAAATTAGCTGCCAGTTAAGAGTGTTTGCTCAGTTAAGCCTAGTTTGTTTATATAGGGATTAAAAACAAACTACTAGGGACCCGGCTAGTTGAAAAGGTAGTCTCGACAATTCAAAAGGAAAAAACATTTGAATCTTCAATCTCTATTTAAAAAAACAAAACAAAACAAAAAACTAGCTGTGATTTCAATTCCTACTACAATCGTTAAACAAAAGAGTTTCCTAGCAGAGACCACCCAAGTATTTTAATTGGCCAAACCCATTAGGAAAAGAAAGAGAGAGAGAAAGGGTTCCCCTCACTCCATCAGTTTGAAGTTTATAACTGATTACAGCAGAATCTCTCACTTGAAAGTTTGTGATAAGCGGAGCCGGAATGTGCCATTATCTTTCTTTTAGTTGTTTGTTTTAATTACATTTTAATCATACAGACTAGCCTGGCAGGCAGAAAATACCCATTTAAAAGCAAATGACAAATTTTGCCCAGGAATTGCTAAAGTCATTTTTTTTTTAAAAGTAGGTTGAATAATTAAGGCTACAGTTTGTGAAATGCTTCCAAAAGAGCTCTTTTTCAGCCTTTATACTGTATGCATATTTGAACTCTCTCCTCAGGTTCTTCTGCCCTTTCCTCTTAAAACATACCCAATGAGTTCTTGTGTTGAATTGTTCCTTACCATCTCTAAACCCAATAAAAGGTATAAATGGCCCAGAACGGAGCTGTTTTGGGCTCTCAGAACTCCTGTTCAGCTCACTGATGATATTCAAAGTAGTGTGGTGGTTTAGGGGCTGTTGCTTTTGGACTGTTGTATTGATGTGTTCTCCTCCGTTGTTTTTGGGTTTCTCTTTTTGATCAAAACCTTTTTTTAAAAAGTAAGAGAAATGAGGTAGTATGACGGGTAAAAGCAAATATTTTCAAGATGTATAATAAAAACCATAAGAGATTATTAGTAGGTTGTTTCTTACCATTTCCCAAGTGGATGACTTGTAAGACCAAAGAGATGACGAAAAGAAGCCTGAAAATAAAAGCAAGCTTTCTTTTAAATGAGATTTTTTTAAAAAGGTGAACTAAATGAACAAGTAACAATTTGTACTTTGTAAAATCCGTTTTTCATTGACAATATATTTAGACTACGTTATCATTTGTAGACTGATTAATGTTGAATTATCTTAAAAATTCATGAAAAGTTTGAGAAAAGGGAGAAAAAAGGTATTTTTATTAATTAGGAGTAAGATGTGTTGTTTTATAATAACTTAGTCTTGTGTTCCTTTTAGCATCCTCAAGGCCTATATGACATCTGTCCTTACCTGACATGAGATGTACAGGCCATTTTCTCAAGGCCACAGCTAGGAAGGGAGTGATTCTCTGCTTCTGTTTCAGCCTTTGCCTTCTTTTCAGTTAGCTGACTGGAATTAGATTTCCAAGGTAAAGTTTCCAAAGGGTTCTCACCCTCAAGCTGTGTTTGCATATGAAGGCATCTTCTTTACTCCAGACTGTGGGGCTTATGTATCCAGAAACACATGGAGAATCTACTGGCATCCAAGAAATTCTGCCTGCACCATAAAGACATAGGTCTGATCATCCCTTTCAGCTCTTTAGGTGAGGTACTGAGTCTGACAGGCAGTGATCATCACTGTCCATCTCCCTCCCCCTAAACAACACAAAGCTTACCGGAGGTGGGGCAAAATCTCATAGGCCCACCCATGTTTAGCCTTTTCACACATAGTGTTTACAAGTCAGACAACACTAAGCAATACGAAATTCTTTATTTTAAAAAAGAAAGTAAAAACTGGCAAAGGAAAAATTTAAACATGTGGTATTAATGTCAGATGATACAAAGCAATACTAAATTCTTCCTTTAAGAAACAACTTGGCAATGAAAAAATTTAAATATACGGTATTAACAAGTCAGACAACACTAACAAATACTGTTTTGTTTTGTTTTTTTTTAAGAAAAGAAAAGAAAAGCTGGCAAATCTTGAACACAGTATTAACAAGTCAAAAAACACTAAGCAATATTAAGCTCTAAAAAGCAAGGAAAAACTGGCAATTAAAGTTCTTAAAAACATACATACACCGGAAAGAAGCATTCTGATGAGGGCTGGAGTTGAAATTAGATTCAGCTCAGCCACCTAGCTGCTTGACTTAGGCAAATAACGTCACCTCTTAGATATAATTTTCCTCTTTTGCAAAATGATGATAATATTTGAATTACTTACCTTTCATTATAGTGAGAAAGATGCTTTGCTAATCTTGAAGTGCTGTATAAATGTGAGCTTTTTTAATCCTACCCCCAAAATAATAATGGTGAAATAGTCATTAGAATTTATTAGAGGAATGTGGAAGAATGACTTGCTTGTTGCATATTTTGTACTGCCAAACACTTTTGTGGGTTTAAAAAACATGTTGCTTCAAACAAAAGTTAACTTCTATATTTGAGCTATGTGTGTGTGTGTCCGTATACAGCTTTGTATTAACAGCTTTTAAAACACACACACACACACACACACACACACACACACACACATCACTAAAATAAGATCTGTAAGTCTGTATTCACGTGATAGAAGTAGTATAATCTAGAAGGGGGTGGTGTGACCCAGATATTTTCTTAGTTCTCTAGTCAGAGGTATGTTTGAGCCAAGTCTTCTTGGCTCAGGAGAACTGATAATTAAATGTTCAGTGTGAGCATTTACTCTTCAGAAATTGTCAAATGCTACACATGGGGGCTTGATTTATTGTTTCATTAATTGTTTAAGAAAGTAGAGGTGTTTATGCAGATTAAACTTGAAAATGTTTCAAGTACATCTACCCCCCCCCCCCCCCCCCCCCCCCAGAGCTGGTTATTAGACATTTACTAGCATACCTCTGGTTCTTGTATACTCCAGTGAAGTACAGTGCTTTAAAATATAAATGTAGATATAAATCTACATATATCTCTATTTATCTACCTATAGTTATAATATTCTTATGCTTGAAAGGGAAGACTGTTCATTCCAGCAGAATTCCCTTATTTTTAAGGAAGGAGAAGAGGAGCAGAAGTCAAGTTGAGAATTTTAAAGGATATTTGTTATTAAAAGCAGCCTAACAGAAGTTTCTCTAGTCCCACCTCCCAGGATTTTAATGAAGATGTGAAGAGTGAAATGAACCCAAGCACTTCAGAGCTCATTGGAAAGTATAAAACCCTATACAAATGCAAGGTATTATTATTCAGTCAACTTTGTTTCTCTAGTGGCCTTGGGCTTGAATCCCTAAAGACTGAGAGGGGTTGGGGATTCCTTTGTTGTTTTCACTGACTGAAGAACACTGCAGAATTAACCCCAAATAAACTAAAACTTCCAAGTGTCAAATCCAAGTTTTTTTTTGTGCTTTAAAAAGACCTTCAAAATCTATGGCATGCCAAAATTATTGCTAAAAGCATGCTAAAATAATGAGAACCTTCTAAATTACTTGGTTAGGAATATAGTTTTTTTTTTTTTGAGCTATAGTGACAGATAACTCTTTGCAAGGTCCTTGTGAACTAGGCTGGCAATCATAAAATTAGAGTGTTGAAAGGGACATCATTTAGCTCATCTTCCAATCTGATTTTGTGATATCTCTGACAGGTCATCATCTGTTTTTTTACATGAACCCTCAGTTTCTTTATTTGTAACATATAAGTAACATGAGTAGGGCAGATAAATGGAGCATGGATAGAGTGCCAGATCTGAAGTCAGGAATCATTTTCCTGAGTTTAAATCTGTGCTCAGACACTTAACTAGCTGTGTGATCCTGGGCAAGTCACTTAACCCTGTTTGCCTCAGTTTCCTCATCTGTAAAATGAGCTGGAAAAGGAAATGACAAACCACTCCAGTGTTCTTTCCCAAGAAAATCCCAAATGGGGTCAAGAAGAGTGGTACACTGCTGAAATGACTGAACAACAACAAACATAAGTATAATAACACTCAAAGGCTTTTCCATATATTTTTGTATGGTAAGCTCAGAGGTTCAGTATTCTGCACATGGTAATGGCTTCTTAAATGTTGAAATGTAATCACTTTTTTTTTTAAGTTGAGAGGGTGATCGAAACTGAAAAGAGAGAGTAGAGCACCAGGCTCCATGAAAATAAAGATTGACTCTTTTAGAAAAGCAAAATGAATCTATGATCAAATATAAAATCTTATTTGGCAATCAGAGTCTTTGACAACATGGTCCCCTCCTACTTTTCCCAGACTTCTTGTACCTTATTCCTTCCTCTTATCTCTCATGTACTCTGTGATCCAGTGATACTGGTCTCTCTACTGTTCCTCAAACAAGACACTCCATCTCCAGACATCAGGCATTTTCACAGGCTGTTCCCCAAGCCTAGAATGCTCTCTCTCCTCATCTTGGCTTCTCGGCTTGCCTGGCATCATTCAAGTCCCAGCTAAAATCCCATCTTCTACAGGAAGCCTTCTAGATGATCCCTCTTGATGCTACTAACTTCTCTGTTGATTATCTCCATATTTATCCTGTATGTATTTTGTTTGTATGTAGTTGTTTTCATGCTGTCTACCCCATTAGACTGTGACCTCATTGAGAGCAGGAACTGTCTTTTGCTTTTCTTTGTAAACACATAGATTAGCACAGTGCCTGGCACATAGTAAGTATTGGATAAATGTTGTTATATTATTATTGTATTTTGAAGAGAACCAATAACATCATGATGTTGGGATCAAGGTACACTGACTGTAGCTGATCAGTCCAATACGAGTTCAGAAGGTTCTACCATAGCTCGAGCATAAATAATCCATTTGAACATTTGGGATGGAGATATCCCTAGATTTATGCATCTCATGTTTCCGTTGTGCTACTGTGGTTACGCTTTGCTTATGGAACACAGTGCCTACTTTGATGCAGACATGCTAGGCTGAGTGGTCCTGTACCAACGTGTGATGCTGACGTTCTTCAGAGAGACCTTGAGAGTGTCCTTGTACCACTTTAATTATGATTATTATTAAATACTTGTTGACTGGCTAATCAACAATGCTTGAGTTCCATTGATCCAAATTGTCATAATTTGGCCACAAGATATTCTAATATTTGTTGAATGCACACTGTATATAAAACTACATTAGATGCTGAAAGGGAAGCAGCTTAGTATTGTGGGAAAAGCGTTAGATTTGGAGTACAAGTACATGAGTTTGAAATCCGGTTTGCCTTTCTTGCTACCTATGTGAGCTTGGTTGTTATTTAATCTCTCTAGGCTTCAATTTCCCTAACTTTAAAATGAGAAGTTTGGACTAGATCACTAAGAAAATGTAAGCTATTGTGGTGATGATTTTATCCCAGTTATATGTAAACCAGTATCTCCAGTTCTTCTCCCCTGCCCCCAACTGGGTCCCCCCTCTCGCCCCCATCAAATTATAAACACTTTGCTCTGTATGTGTCTCTTTCTCTGCATGCCCGGCATCTAGCAGTGTTTTTCATGAGATAGGCTTTTAACCAGTGATTGCTGAATTTTAAAAAAAGAGTTTTTTTATTAATTTATTTATTTTTAGTTTTCAACATTCACTTCTATAAGATTTTGAGTTCTAAAATTTTCCCCTTTCCTTCTCTCCTCCCTTCCCAAGATGGTATGCAATGTGATATAGGCTTTACATGTACAATCATATTAAACATATTTCCACATTAGTCATGTTGTGAAAGAAGAATCAGAAAAAAGGGAGAAGCCACCAGAAAGAAAAAACAAAAAAAAAGAGAGAGAGAGAAAGAAAAGAGCATGCTTTGATCTGAATTCAGACTCCATAGTTCTTTCTCTGGATAGGGATAGCACTTTCCATCTTGAGTCTTTTGGATATGTCTTACATCATTGCATTGCTGAGAAGAGCTAAGTCTGTCAAAGTTAGTCATCACACAATGTTGCTGTTACTGTGTACAGTGTTCTCCTGGTTCTGCTTACTTCACAGAAACAATCAATAACTTCATCCAGTTCACTCAAGTCTTTCCAGGTTTTTCTGAACTCCATCTGCTCATCATTTCTTATGGAATAATAGTATTCCATTACATTCATATACCACAACTTGTTCAACCATTCCCCAATTGATGGACTTCCCCCCAATTTCCAACATTTTGCCACCACAAATAAGGTTGCTATAAACATTTTTGCACATATAGGTCCTTTTCCTTTGTTTATGATCTCTTTGGGGTACAGACCTAGTAGTGATATTGCTAGATTAAAAGGTATGCACAGTATGGTTATTCTTTGGGTATAGTTCCAAAATGCTCTCCAGAATGGTTCAATTAGTTTACAACTCCACCACCAATGCATTAGTGCTACAATTTTCCCACATCTTCTCCAACATTTATCAT